TTTACAGAATTCCTTGCTTTTCTGGTTCTTTTGTTATTCCATGTGATTTTTAGGATTGTTTTTTTCTAGGTATAGAATAATATGGGTATTTTGATGAAGACTGTATTGATTCTGTAGGTGGGTTTAGTTAATCTGATGTCTTTATTTAATCTCCAGATGGCTTTAGTTTATTTAATGTAGTTAATGTATGTGGCTTTAGTTTATATGTAGATGACTTTAAGTTTTTTAGTAATTTTTTTGTAATGTTTCTTGTAGAGATCTTTCCTTTCTTTGGTTAGACTTATTAGACTTATTACTAAACTTTTTTTTTTTTTTTTGTACTAGGGATTGAACTCAGGGACACTCAACCACTGAGCCACATTCCTAGCCCTATTTATATTTTTTATTTAGAGAGAGAATCTCACTGAGTTGCTTCGTGCCTCACTGTTACTGAGGTTGGCTTTGAACTGCTGATCCTCCAAGTTGGGATTACAGGCATACGGCCCTGTAACTGGCTTACTAAGAATTTTTTAGTTATTTGGAATGAAACAAGTTTCCTCATTTTTTCCCAACAGATTCATATTGTGGGCAAAAGCTATTGGTTTTCATATCTTGATTTATTTATTATGCAACATTGCTGAATTTGTTTATCATCACTAGGAATCTTCTGGTGGAACTTTTAGTATCTTCTAAGTTTAGAATTATATCATCTGCAAACAGAGACAATTTGGCTCCTTCCTTTCCTTTCTGCCTCTTGCCAAATGCTTCAACTAAAAATTGAGTATTTATTGTATAGGAATAGTGGCAGAACATCCTTCTATTGTTCCTCATTTTAGAAAAAATGCATTCAGCTCTTCCCTATTAAATAGGATGTTGGCTTTAGGTTTGTCATATATAGAATTTCTTTTGAATTGTGTTTGTTGCACTCCTGTAATGAAAACAACTTTATCATGTTGTATGATCTTTTTAACATGCTATTGAATTTCATTTGAATTGCTACTATATTGAGGGGGTTTTATCTAAGTTCATCAATTATATTGGTGTGTCGTTTTCTTTCATCAGAGAAGTGTTCTTGTCGGGATTTGGATTTTCTTTTTTTAATAGTACTGGGGGGGCTGGGGATGTGGCTCAAGTGGTAGCGCGCTCGCCTGGCATGCATGCGGCCCGGGTTCGATCCTCAGCACCACATACAAAGATGTTGTGTCCGCCGAAAACTAAAAAATAAATATTAAAAAATAATTCTCTCTCTCTCTCTCTCTCTCTCTCTCTCTCTCTCTCTCTCTCTCT